TGTGAAAATCTCCCCAGTTCCAAAGGGCTTGTTTGAAACCCTGTCCCCCAGCACACGCTCTCCATAGCACAGTCAGATTCTGGTCTAGCTCTGCACTCCTGCAGAGCTCAGGGGGACAAGGGCATAGGGGCAGCTCCTTCTCATCTCTCTGGTGGCTCTGAGTCCCAGCGGCCTCTGGCAGACACCTCTCCTTCTTGAGATGAGGCTGCTAACCCAGCCTAGGGAGTCAATCCAATCTCAAATTCTCGTTCCAGATAAGGTGTCCCGGGAGTACTGGGAAAGCTGTCTCTCCCCTGAGGATACGCTGCTGTCCAGGACCCCATCAGCTGAAGCAGCGTGGAGAAGAGCTGCTCTGTAGGGCCATCCGAAGGCTGGAGAAATTATAGGAGTTTTGCACACTCAGCCAGTTGAGTTTCTGAAACACTGTACAAGGTCACCTCCCTGGGCAAATCTGGGCAGGGGCAAGGTGAAGAGAGGGAAGCTGCCTTTCTCCCAGGTGCCGACTCAGGCATAACCAGAGGGAAGCCTGGCCCGAAGCTGGACAGGGTGCCACAGACTTTGTAACTGATCCTCTCCCGTGAGATGTGCTCAGGTCTTACTGATTGTCTTCCAAGCCGCCCTATCTCTGCTCTGTCATTCACTCTGTCAAACCAGGAACCTTCTCGTCACCTGCCACCACTGCTCCTCCCTCAACCATCACTTCCAAACATTCCCAGAGTCTGACTGATTTCTCCCCAAACAGCTCTGATCTCCATCCGCCCTTCCTCTCCTTCCCAACTGCCTCTGCCCTGATCCAGGCCCGGCACGAGCACGCGCTCTGACTGCTGCAGCAGCCTCCCTCTGCACTCCAGACTCGCTCTCTCCCCAGTCCACTCTTTCCCCGCAGCTAGAGGGCTCTTGGGAAGACGCAGGGCTAACAGTACTTCCTCCACTTAAAACAAAGCATCCCATCGCAAGAGAATAAGAAAATAAGAAGTTCAAGCATCTTAGACTGGCGCCTACCTCTCCAACACATCCCACAGCCAGGTCCCTTCACGCCCTGTGCCAGAGCCTCTCTGGTTTCCAAAGTTGCACCCACACCAGCACGCATCCCGGCCTGCGCCACGCTGCTCCCCTGCCCGGGGTGCCTCTGAGCCCTTGGAAAACTCTCCTTGCCCTCTGGGAGCCAGTTAAGCTCTAAGGGCTCTCCAAAGTTCTCCCCAATCTCCTCCTCCTCCCTTGGTGGTTCCCGCTACATGCTAGACAGACTGCTATGAGACTTGCCAAACTATGCAAGTGTTAATTGGTTAGGAGTCGGCCTCGTCCCTGCTGGACTGCAGGTTCCTCCAGGCCAGGGGCTGCCTCTCCATCCTCCTTCTGCCACATACGGGGGCTCGTGTGTATGCAACTGGGGTTCTGGATTTTGAGCTACTACACACATCAATGTGTGTGACGCTTCTTGAGGATACTAATTCAGATACCAGACCAGGGTCACTAAGAGGGACACACAGAAGAAACTCTACATACCTTTTTTCTCATGAATACTTTAAAATATGATTTTTTTTTTCCCCTCAGCACTCCTTCTGTTTCTTAAAAAAATGGTTCTTTCAAAGAGCTGGGCTGAATCATCCGCATAGCTCCCATACAGACTGGGTAAACTCCCCACAGATTTCCTTTTCAGAAAGAATACAATAAAATTCTGTCATCTTGTGATCCCTCAGGACACTTCTGACAGCTCATGGGACGCAGTTCCAGTTGAGACTAATTGCTTCAACTCTTTCTTGGAAGTTCTTTCCTACAGTCTGTAATAGCACTTACCAAGTATTTCTCATTCAGTGTGTGCTAAATGTTCAACTTGCAACATCTTACTTAATCCTCACAACTGCCCTCCTAGGGAGGGGTCTTGATGTCCCCACTTTACAGATGACAAAGCTGGGCATGGAGAGAATAAGCTACCTCTAGCGACCAGCAGGGCTGGGATTGGAAGTCAGATCTGTCTTACTGCAGAGCTAAACAGGCTCTTAATGAGAACAGTTTGCTGCCTTTCCAGGTCGAATGAAAGACACGGGAGCAAGGGCAGCACCCTGTAGGATAGGCCTTCTGAGAGGGCAGCCTTACCTCCCTAGCTGCTCAAGCGACCTGCGACCCCAGGAAGAGAGGGGCACATGCAGTAGGCACCCCTGTGCTGGGCGAAGGAGCCCAGAGCAAGGCAGGGAGCTTGACACCTGCCACCCTCTGCCTACAAGTGCCTTCTCGGCAGGGACCCCCCACCCTGGCACGGACTCTCCCCGCTCAGGGGCCTGCGGTGGCCTCTTGAGAGGAATCCAGTCCTTTAGGGTCTCCCCTCCTCGTCCCTCCTCTGCTGGGACTGACTCCACACAGATCATTCTAAAACACAGATCCAATCATGTCACTCCTCTGCTTCAAAACCTTTTCACTGCCCTTGGCATAAAGTCCTAACTTGTTAACGTGGCATTTCTTTGTCAACGGATACTGCCTTACCTTGCACCATGTTGACTTTCACACCACCATATGGAACAATCTGAGGCTTCTGGAATAAACTATGCGTGTACTCAGGGGCGCCTGGCTGGCTCAGTCAATGGAGCGTGCAACTCTTGATCTTGCGGTCCTGAGTTCCAGCCCCATTTTGGGTGTAGAGATTACTTAAATGAATAAATTAATTAAAACTTTCCATTGAAAAAACAAACTATGCGTGTACTTATCTCTAAGTAGAACACCTTACCCTTTCATGCTCACTGGCTAAGCCTTCCCATCCTTCTAGACACAGCTCCACTGTCATCACCTCTGCCAAGCCTTCCCAGGATCCGCCCCCCACCCAGGCTGGGCTCCCACGGCCCTCTGTGCCTGCTGCTGCTAGCTTTCTTACACCTTATTTCAACTACTTGTTTACAGGTCGGTCTCCTTTAACCAGGCCACCAGCTTCTTGACATAAGAATAAGAGCTAACATGTATCATGTGACAGACATGGTTCTGTGTATTTTACATGTGTTAACTTTTTTTTTTTTTTTTAAGATTTTATTTTTAAGTGATCTCTACACCCAGTGTAGGGCTCGAACTCACAACCCTGAGATCAAGAGTCACAAGTTCAGGGCACCTGGGTGGCTCAGTTGACTAAGCATCTGACTCCAGCTCAGGTCATAATCTCAGGGTTTTGGGCTCAAGCCCCTGCACAGGACTTCTGGCTCAGTGGGGAGTCTGCTTCTCCCTCTCCCTCCCCACTTGTGTGCGCGCTCTCTCTCCTCTCCCTCCCCCCCCAACAAATAAATACAATCTTAAAAAAAAAAGTCTAAAAAAAAAAAAAAGAGTCACAAGCTCCACTGACTGAGCCAGCCAGGCGCTCCTACGTGTGTTAACTTTTTTAATCTTCACAACAACTCTATGTTATCACCCCTGTTTTAGAGATGAGGACACTGAGGCACAGAGAGGTTATACCACTCTCCTACTGTCACACAGCTAGAACGCTGCAGAGCCAGAATTTGAACACAGGGAGTCTGGCTCCAAAGCCCATTCTTCACCACTATACCAGAGAGTCCTTGCTTCTCCAGGCAAAGACACGGTTGTTGTCATGTGGGGAATGAATGAATAAATGAGGGCTACCTCCCGAAACCGCTCATATAGCAGGGCGGTCAAGGAGTCCCGGAGCAGCTCACAAGCACTGTTCACAAACAAGGATTCTCAGGCCATACAATTACATATTCTGCTCTTCCTTATCTCATGCAAAACTAAGCCAAGAGGGAAACGTGCCCAGCCCAGGGTGACGACCTTCTTCCCCAGTGCTCTCAAAACCAAGCAAAGCCAACCGGTTTCTCCCGTGACTTAAAACAGAGCAAAGTCTATCCTGCCACCAAAGGCACCTGTCATCTCTTCCTTCCGCCAACAAACGGGCATCAAACCTAGGGAGTGGGGGTTGGCAGAGAACGCAGGATCGGAAATCCCAAAGCCCTTACCCACGGCCCGGAAGGTGTGGCCGAGTGGCGTGGGAATGGGCGGGCCTGACCCGGCACGGCAGGTGAAACTGACCACAGCGGCGTGCTATCTTCTAGGAAAAGGCCGGCCAAACGTAGCACTGGCAGCCAGGTAGCTCTGACCCGCACCTGAACGCCTCCCGCGATGCCCAAATTTCCCCAGCTAAGACGGGTGAGAACTCCTGGAGGGAGCCCTGGCTGGCCCGCCCTGGGGAGTCGTTCTAACTTTCAAGTCCCTCTCGGGATCGGGAGGAAAGCATGGAGAGGCAGAGGGTGTCTCGGGGAAAACCTAGCTGAGTTCAAACGCCGGTGCCCTCACTCAGTGGCAGAATGACTCCGGGCAAGGCTGGCAGTGCCCACCTCCCAGAGCTGCGGCCGGACCCGAGGCTCCCCGCGGCCGCCCGGTACCCAGCGCACAGCAGCCCCCGCCCCCCGGGAAGGGAAGACCCCAGCAGAGGAGGGGGCGTTCGCTGTTGCCATTTCTGTCGCACCCGGATGGCCTCGAGCTGTCACCCCGGTCCCACCGCCACGGCCGCTGAGGCCCGCCCCGCTAACCCGCACCCCCCCCGCCCGGCTCCCCGCTCCGGGACCCCCGCCCTCACCTTCCCCCGGTGCTCAGCGCTGCTCGCCCATAGTCCGTAGCCCGGAGCCGGGACTGCTCGGCGCTCCGTCCCGGGGGGCCGGGGCCGGGCCGGGGGCGTGGGAGCCGCTCACCGCCGCCTCCCAGCGCAGCCACCCGAGCCGCCACCGCCGCCGCCGCCTCCCTCCATGGCTGCGGCGCCGCCACCTGACAACGGAAGTGACGCACCGCCCCCTCCTCTCGGGCCAGAACCGCAGCCCCACCCCTCTCCCCCGACCCCGCCCCTCGCCTGTGTCTGCAGCCCCGCGGCCTCGGGATTGGGGCGCCATCTTGAGAATGGGCGGAAGCCTTCAGGTAGGAGGCCGGAATCCGATTGAGGATTGGCCTCAGGGTGGGATCTGGGCCGAAATCTGTGAAACGATTGGGGGCTGAGACCCTAAAGGGGCGGTACTTACCGCTCATCTATGTCTGCGGCAAGGCTGGGACGCGCACACCGCCCCCGCCCCAACTCCGCAGGACCTCGCGTACCCTACCCTCGCCCTGCAGGGTTGGGAGAAGTCTCCCGCAGTTGGAAGATCGGCCAGTTGCAGTGTATTTGTCAGAAAAATGGCTCTTCCTTGATCCCCATTTCTCAGTTTCTGGAGCTCTGTGCGGAGAGCGCTGCAGTTGGGCTCAATAAAATGACAGGAATTCCTGTCTCAGCTCTCACAATTTATTTCACTCTGGGGCCCTCGCCTTTGTAGAAACCCCGCTCCAACCTGAAGATCCCAGGAGACTTGACCAGGGACGTTTACAGTGAAGAGGTCCTATAAACAATTCCAGCCATCTAACCTCTCAGTCCCTCCTGCTGCAGTTTCGGTCCCTTTCTCCTCCTCCTCCAGCAACCACGCCCTCCATGAATCAGCTTCTTGCACCAGCAGATGAGCCCTTTAAAGGGATTGCATCAGGCGGGTGACTCACTGGGGCCCTCTGAGACCCTGGCTTCCCTCCTCTGGCATCCAGAAGCTGCTAGAAGGGTTCAGTGGCAGCAGCACCAACGACCGACCGTGGCCCTAATCCTTTGTCTCAGAGGTGTGAGCCGGTGTGCTGGCCGCATGTCTAACTCCCGGGTGTCTTTTCAGCTGTCTCCTGCGTCACTCTGTATCCATGTGTGGGCACACGTCGCCAAGCCTATGTGCCCTGCTGGGTTTTCCTAGGGGCGTGTGGCCAGGTGCTTCCGTGTATGTGCGTTTGTCATCTCCAAACAGGCAGTGCCAGGACACGAGAGCCAGTGTGAGTCTGGCTGCCTCCTCCTGTGTCCATCTCTTTGTCTCTCTGAATGCCTGGTGCCCACTGAGCTGACAGGGCTAAGTGACAACAGGAATCAAAACAGCTCCCGCTGTTGTTGTCACATGCTGTGTTAAGCACTTTAGAGGCATCTTCTAGGAAAAGGCCGGCCAAAGGGAGTCTGTTTACAGAAGAAGAAGCAGCTAGAGCTCTGAGAGGGGAAATAACCTCTCCCAAGACACACAGCTAATAATGGCAAGGTTATGACTTGAACCAAGTCTGGCAGATGTGAGTCCTTGCTGCGTCTCTCACAAGCTGAGTGACTCCGTGTGAGTTCCCCAACCTTACCATTCTGTCGGAACACGGATCACACTTCATGGGGTCACTGAGAGGATTGGGTGAGGATGGAAACAGCTTCTCACAGGACATGGCCCGTAAGAGTGCTCACACTCACTTCAGTATAGTTGGGGACTGAAAGGCAGGCACAAAGGAGCCAGGCCAGGGCCCCCCAGCGTCTGTCTCTGACAAAGGGAAAAGCCTAGGGATTCCGGAAGCAAGCCCTGACTCTGCCAGCAATGAGTTTTGGGTTTTCCAGAGCTCTAATTATCAGCTAGATGAATCACTTGGAGCTGACACCACCATCCCCAACCCCCAGAGACTTTCCGTTGCTTCACAATATAGCATTTTAACAAAGAAGAGGAGGAGGAAGAAAAAAGAGGGGAGAAGTAATGAATAGAAACGAAAGGTGCCAGCCAGAGGAAATGAAAAACTGTCGTCAGGACACCAACATGAGGAGACTGGCTGCACCGTGCGCGCGCGCGCACACGCACACACACACACACACACACACACACACACACACACGTCGCGCGCGCACGCGCGCGCTCCTGCTGCCTGCAGGCTCTCCAACTTTGGGTACACTGGCAGATGGTACTGCCATAACAAAGTGACGCCTGTCACAACAGCAGAGATGCTTGCTTGACGAGGTATAGGCAGATCTGCCTGTCACAGAAGCAGAGGAAGAAACCTTCACCCCTGAGGAGCTCCCTCATGCTTCTGTGACCCAGCATACCCTACTTACTGCTGGCTTCTGGCTTCTCCTTGTGGCCAAGCCCCAAGGCCTGGGTATGGCAAAGTTTCGAGTGCCAACCCCACACCCGGTCGGGGCCACCATTGATGTGATGTCGGGGACGCAGGACGGTGTGGTATAGTAGTTAAGATCATGGAGTTGGAGTCAGACAGACTTGAGTTCAAATCCCCACTGTGTTGTTCCCTGGCTCTTCGATCTGGAGATCTTGAGCAAGTCACCTCACCTCTCTGGGCCTGTTGGCTCCTCTGTAACATGAGGCTATGAATATATACCTCCAGGGTTGTTGTTAGGATGAAAGGAGAGGATTCTTCCGTTCCATGAAGATTTATGGTGTGCCTGCTAGGTGCAGAGCACTGAGTTAGATGGTGGGGGTCCAGGGGGACCAAACAGACTATGGCTCTGCCCTCCTCCTGCCCCTGGCACAGGCCCTAGCCGGTAGTCGGAGTCAGCAAGTGGTAGCTATTTATGACGACCATCTTGGCATTCAGCCATTAACTTCACCATGGGACCTGAGGAGAGCCCTCCCCCTTCCCTTTCACTCTGAAGAAGCTGGGCCTCAGTTTCCTCAACTGTAAAATGACAGAGTTGGATTGGACCAGTGGTTCCTGATCTTCTTGCCATCAAAGCTTCTCTTAGTATTTTCCCTCCACACGAGCCTCACATTCAGTAAGATTTTGTCTCCCATACAACCCACATCAAGTCATTTCTTCCCTTTTATTGATTATAAGCCTCGTTTTACAGACCCTAGGGCTTGTGATCAGGGGGAGCAAGCCAGAGTGACCACTACTCTGTTAGTGTAATTCCAGCCCGAAGCAGAGAGCACACCAGCTTGGTCACCCTTCACATACTATGTGCTATTTCTCTGGGTCCTTTGGGAAACATTGACAGGAGCTCAAGGGACCCCTGCTGCCCTTGGGCGGGGGGCCCTTCGGCTGGGGATGCCAGACTGGAACTCAGGGAGCTGGATGCTCTCCTTCATGTCCCATCTGGCTGAGAGCCGGGGGTGGGGGGGGCTGCATCACTCAGATGGCCCCCAGGGAGATCTGAACTTCCAGCTGTATGCCCACCCTGGCAGTCCCCTCCTCCAAATGACAGAGACCTAACACAGTGTGTGCCTCTTCTCTCCAGGAGGGCAGGGCAAGATGGGGACCCAGCAGGCTACCTGGAGCAATCAGAATTTCTTTGTTCAAGCATACGTGTACACCAACATGGGGGGCATGCTTGAACAAAGACCATGGCAACGAGCAGCAAAACACCAAATCCAGTGGGGCAATAACATTTGGAAGTATGTTTTTCATATTTTCTTTGGTGTCCCTCCCTTCCCTTATGCAGAGTTATGTTACTCTGCCTTCGTGACTTTGGGAAACAAATGATACAACAGAATGTAGAGCTCATTTTTAGCTTCTGAATTCCAAAAGCCTAGCCTTCAGGGAGGAATGGAAAGAATTTCTATCCACGGACAAATTTAGAAAACTGTAGCAAGGGGGATCTGGGAGACTGAGACTTGTGGGGGGGGGGTGTCCCTGAGACTAGACCAGCTTCTCCTCAGCCTGGGAGCTGGAGGGTGTCAGCTGGGTCTCAGGGCCTGGGGAGCACCGAGAGCTGTGCTCTTTTCCTGGGGGAGTGCCAGGAAGGAACAAAACCCTCCGAAGAAACAGCCGTGTGCTGCATTTGGGTAAACAGGGCCTAACTAAGCCAAGAGCCTAAGAATTTCCCGGGCCTAATAAGGCCTGGGAAAAGTAGAATAAAAATCTGAACACCGAGAGAGGTATGGGTTACTCCTAAAGGGGTCTGTGGGTCAGGGAGGAGCAACTTGGTGGCAGCCTGAGTGGGCTGACCACAAAAGGCCAGAAGGAAACGAGGACATCTCAGCGATGCTAGCATGATTGGATGAGCATCAGACCAGACCACCTTTCCCACGCTGGCCACCTTTAAGGGAAATGTGCTAGAATTCAACCAGTTCCAAGGAAAGGAAGAACTTTGAATCGGCGGCATTGAGTTTCTGCCACGCTGGCTGAATGGGGTGAAGTAGGAACTCAGCTGAGTTAGGAACCATTCAAGTTCTGCTTCTCACGCACTGGGAACTGGAACCACTATGCTCCTCACGCACAAGGCCTGGTATCATTTGCCCCAGCCCTGTCCCCTTCTCTAGCCTCACGTGCTTCTCTCTCCTCTGATGGTCTCAGTGGTCCGGTTACTGCCCCCACCCCCAGGGTGCCCGCCCCAGGACCTTTGCACTGGATGCTTATTCTGCCTTCCCTTGGCTCTTTAAACAGCAGGGTCCTTCTTGGTTTACATTTCGCTTCTTCAGACCACACTTTCCAAAATAAAACCATCTCTGTGTTCTCTCTAGAGTACCCTGTTTATTTCCTTCATGACATCTGTCAGAATTTTTACTTTTTTTAATTGTCAGTCTTCCCCTGTAGAACCTCAGCTTCCCGGGGGCAGGACCCTTGTCCATCCTGACGTTCCTTCAGCAGCTGGTATGGTGACTAGATAGCTTAGTGGAACGAATGGTGGGCAGCAGCTGGGGGAATCCGGCTCGCCACGGGCTGGTGGGCACTAAGCTCACCCCCCATTCCTTCCTGGGCCTCTGGCAGCCTTTCCCAGCAATCCAGGACCAGATGCCAAAAGACCCATATCCCTGGGGCTTGCAGATTTAGGGGTTCAGCATGAGTGTGTCTCAGCCGGCCTGTTTCCCCTCCTTTGGCTCTATCCTTCCAGCGCCTCACGTAGGGATGACAGTGGGCCTGCGGGGTCTGGCGCGCGATGCTTCCGATGTTTCCGGAATGAGGACATGTGCTTGGGTCTGAGCAGTCCATGCTAGCCTGAGGGCTCCCCTCCCCGGCCTGGGGGCTCTCCCTTGCTCTGCTGAGGCCACAGAAGTGCTGGAACACCACTTAAAAGCGCGGGATCTCTCCTCCATCTCCAGGCCAAACTCCCAGCATAAGCCCTCTTCACGTTTGGAAACATCTGCAGACATGTGGGAGACATCTGCAAAGAGGCTGCTGTGGGACTCCCCGCATTCATCCCTCCGGACGGGGCGGCCCTCCCCGCTTACTGCAAGCACGCCGACATCCCCACGACATCCCCACAGCGAGGCCCTCCCTTCTGTGTCTGCCCTCTGGTTCCTCCGAGCGCGGCAGGTACCTTGTGGTGCCGCTCCCCTCACCTGGGGCTGTCAGAGGGGCCTGGAAACTCAGAGTTGTCGTCTCCCTGCTAGAACCCACTGTTCTCTCCTGAAGGCGGAGGTCAAGTCTCAGGGACTTCTGGGACCTCTAGGCGATGAAATAAACAGTATTCCAAAGAATCATGGTGGGTGGGTGTGTGGGTGTTAATGATGCAGATTCCTGGGTTCTGGATTCTGGTTCACATCGGGGAAGGGGGAGCCAGCAAAGCGGCTTTTCCAGACACGTCCCGGTGGGTTCTGATGAGGTGGGTCAAGGACAACACTTTGACAAAGACTGGGAGGGAAGGTGAACGCGGTGCCTTGGGCTGCTAGCGCCCAAGTGGGCACTCAAGTCCCCCTGGAGAAGTGAAAGCATCCGAAGGTCAAAGGCCCCTGCCTTACTTGAGACTCGGGTGCGGCAGTCCTCAGGCTGGATTTCCGCTCGTGGTTCTTGACCACCTCCCCCACTAGACCGTAAGGCCCGCTCCGGAAGGGACCCAATCTAATTCGACAGTGTGTGCTCAGCAGAAGGCCTGGCACACGGCAGCTGCTCTGTGGATGTTTGATGAGGACACAGCTGCTTTTATTGAGATGGTTGCTTGCCCGTGGCAGGGCTGGTATGGCTGCAAGGCAGCTATGACAAAGAGAGCCACTTCTTCCTGAGGACCCCCAAACTTCTCAGAATCGGAGCCTGATTTCTTGCTGTTGGATGAGCTCCCACACTCGAGGGGAGCACCCAGGATTACCTCAACCTCCCT